GGAGTCCAATCTCGAACCGATCGGCTAGGTTGTCTTATTTGAGACATATGCTTCAATCACAATCTCATTTTCCTTCTTTTCTAGAATTCATTCACAATACCTTTCCAATACCACCGCTATCTTGAGCGGAGTCCGATCTCGACCCGATCGGCTAGGTCGCCTCATCAAGGCATTATTCCCTTCTCATAAATCAATTCATTTAATATATATCATTTAATAGGCACTTGGGGCCACGACTTATCAAATCATTCTTGGCACTAGGCCGCATTTCACATCGTTCCCAATTTTCAGTATTAGCTTTGTCAGTTAGGACAATAGGTGAACACAAGAGCAATTTAAATTGTAAACATAGAAAAGATTTCACGTAGATAGCACAACATATTCAGCTGCAATCTCAATTTAAGGTCTAAACATTTCCAATACATAATTCATACCTTTGCTCCTTTCAAGCTGTCAAGATAGCATATTGATTATGTTGGGACACATTTTTCACACACATAAGGTTACAACACCCACTCATGTAAAACAACAAGCAATACAACAATTCAAGTTTAATCTTGCCATGCCCACGCAATCACCGATGAAGCTCAATTTGTAAGAGTTGGGGTTTTAGCCATACATACCTCAACCGAGCTTTCCTTAATCCTATAACGTTTCGGAATGTTCGCACCTCAATCTCTTGGGATGAAGGTTTAGGTCTCTCACTTGATTATCTTCAATGATTCAACAAGGATTTTTGGATCAATATTGATGAAAGTCACTTCCCCTCTCTAAGACCCTCTATCTCTCTCTAAAAGCATCAGAAAAACAAGCTCAAATGAGCTATTACACCGTATATAACGATAGGGGTCGGGTTTAAAATTTAGAAGATTGGAGCCCCGAGTCGGATCTGCGATCGCATTTGCTATCACAAAGCTGACATGCGGTCCGCATAATGGACCGCAAAAATGCTCCCCAAGACCTGAACACACTGCCTGGGTATGCGGAAGAAATGCGGTCCGCATACCCGTTCTACGATCGCATAATGCACCGCAGAATGGCCCCTCACAAAATTCTAAGGAAAATATGCGACGACTATGCGGTCCGCATATCGGTTATGCGATCGCATACTTGACCTCAAATTTGACCAACACACTGACTCACTTTGCGACAATTATGTGGTTTGCATACTAGTTGCTGCCGACTCGACACTACGCTATGGTTGGAAGAGTGGGTCGCAATAGTTTTTACCCAAATAGAGGTCCGGGATCGAATTTCCACAGGGAGCTAGTAGTGGAGTTGTATTTTCTGTCTAGCCTAGAGTTGTGGTTGTGCTTCTAATGTCACTTCAAACATTTTTGAGTTTTTGTATTTATAACTACTATTATAAAACTAAGGATTAAAGCTAAATTATGCTAAGAGAATATTGCTAAGTTGTAATTAATGGATAGAAGAGCACTAGCGTCGTAGCATCACCTAGGCGGCTAATTGACGGGTAGATGTTACTAAGGATAGATTGACATATTTGGGGATTATGCTGTAACCGTTGCACAATTGCACCCACTCTCACACCTCTCGGTAGAGAGAGTGATTTTGCCCAATTGACTCTCTCGAGATCAATTGGATGGGCCAATGAGACCAAACAACTAGGGTTCAAGTAGGGCGATTACTCTCTCGAGATTTAACCCGTTAATTGAGACTACCATTTATCATTGGTCCATCCCAATTCCTTGTTGGGTCAATTTTGGGGTCATAAACTCTCTCTTTTGAGAAGAGTTAAACCCACCAAGATTGAATCAGTGTTTGCAACCACCAATTCTTGAATAAAAACATAAAATCAACCCAAATAGCAAAAACCCAATATCAATCCAACCCTAGATGGCAACACCCATCAATTACCCACACTAGAGTTGAGCCACAACCCTAGCTAATGGGTTTAGTTACACATAATTAAAGAAGACACTTAAAAAATAGATGAAGAACTAAACATATTAATTAATTACTAAGAAGAAACTACAATAATCTATTGTTAATGGGAAGCAAAAATGCCAAAAAATGGCTACAATATCGGTCTCACGAGCTCAGCTGCATTTCTGAATACAAAACTTAACCTAAAAATGGTAAAATTTCCTATTTATAGTGGGCTGGAAAAACTGGACAAAAATACCCCTGCGGGGTCTGTGTAGGCGCACAAAAGCAATCGCAGCCGCACTGGCTCTTTTGACTTCAACTTTAAGTTCTCTGAACTGGAAGACGCGGACCGCGTGAAAGTGCAGCGCGACCAAGTAGAGGGTCTGGCGCGATCCGGACAAACAGGACGCGGACCGCGTGGCATGGTTTTGGTCCTTAGCCCAACTCTCTGAACCTTGCGAACACGGACCGCACAAAGCAGGAGTGCGGTTGCGAAGCTTCACCGCGGACCGCGAAAATCCTACCGCGGCCGCGTGACTTTAAGCCTGAATATATCATATCTCTGAACCTCCTAATGCGGTCGCGGTCACTGTTGTACGGTCCGCACTAGGCCCTTTCTTCTTCAATTCTCTTGGTCTTTGATACTTGAGCAGGTTTCACTCCTTTTTGAGACGATCTTTGACATTTCGTCACTTTGTCGATCAAACCTACAATCAAGCACAACTTGTGAGTATTTTGAGACTATTTTGTAGCAATTTATATTCAAAGCATAGGCAAGTAGAGGCATAAACACGTTAAAATCCTAATTTATCAACTCCCCCAAACTTAAACCTTTGCTTGTCCTCAAGCAAACAAAATAAGACCCACCCCTTAAAGGAACATCCAAGTAATTCCAGCTATCCTAAACTAACCTCAACAAGCATCAATTGGGACTAACAATTGCCCTCAATACGAATGCATCATTAACACATTTTATACTTTGAAAACTATGGATCAAGTGTGACACAAGAGCATCAAGAGTTGACACATTTCATCAAAGAGCTTCTCTCAATTACTTTGGTCATTGTGGAACCCAAACTCCCATATCCTCAACTCTCTCTAAGCGAAACTCACCTTTTAAGTATTGACACACAAACCGAGGTTAATGGAATTTCACTCATCTCTCTCAAGAAGAAGGTCACAAGTCCGGCTCTAAGTACCATATGCTTGCCCCTTATGTAAGTATCCACTAATGTAAGCTCCCTTCAACTCGAGATCAAATAGGGCTTTTGTGGAGTCATTGTGAAGGCTTTTAGGTAAGGGTAGGACATATTTTTATTCAAGTGGGTTCAATCTTCCCTTAAGCACTTCTTTTGATTCATTTTGGCACAATTCTCTTGACTCTTTTGAGTATTTCACTTTTTTACAAGGGGTTAGAGAGACATATTGTCACTCTTTCTTATACAATTCAAAACATTTCTCCTTTTTCTACTTTTTCCACACCGTTTTCACTTTTGTTTTCCTTGAGTCCCTTTTTATTCTTGTTCACATTGGACTTCCTTTTTGTCTTTTTCTTTTCTTGCTTTTTTCATTGCATTCCTTTTCTTTTGCTTTTGTAACTTTTTACCACTTTGCTTCCTTTCATGTCTCTCCCCCCAAACTTAGATATTTGCCATTACTCAAGGGAAGATTTGGGTGCCAAGAGAGAGTAATCATTTAGAACGGGTATAGGCTTGTAGCATTGGTTCTTGAAAGAAAAAGGTTTAAGGCTCAAAAGGGTTAACTAGGGATCATCTCATTGGTAGGCTATGGAATTGTTCAACTTAACATTTGGATCAAACAGAGCCTATAATCACTTCTCAAGTCATATTTCACCTAGGATTTCGCCTCAACAAACATTCAAGGCAAGTTCTAGAGCATTGGCTCGAGACTTGGACTCACATTTCGATTCCTCACCACACACGCTAGGGGATTGCTAAAGAGATCTAGTTGAGGGCCCACCACGACCTTAGTTACGATTCAAGCACACAATGGTCCGAAAAGACCACATGATGATTGTTTGGTCAACGCAAGAAATCTCAAAGCCACGACTTTCACCATCCTGAACACAACATTATGTCTTTGACCATGGGATCAAAGGCAAATGTGCTAGGCCCAAATGAAGCTTTGCTTGAGGTACCTTTAACTACAACTATCAAAAACAAAAGAAAAATCAAAGAAACGGACTCAAACCCTTAAGAAGGTTGTCACGCCATCTATCATTGGGAAGAGCCACCCGGTTCGCACAATACTCCACCCTTGGAAAGAACTGTGGCATTAAGAAAACCAAGGGCTTATTGGAAGCGTCAAAAACAAAACAAGAGGCTGTGAGCCTAACTACAAAGCTAAAAGCGAATTTTTTTGCGAAAATAGAAAATAGAATGAATATGTACAATAGGGGAGTTGAATATACAACGGGGGATGAATACATACAGAAATGTAAAGTTATATACAGCCCAAAATAAAAAAAATCAACAAAAACATAAACTAAGAATCTATATATACAGTCATCCAGATAAAAGTAGGGCGCACCCCTACAAATAAAAGTTGGCATTGTCCTCAATGCCAACTATCAAATAAGCATCAAAAAACAAAGTAAAGGATATAGGAGCTCCCTAGGCCTGGTCCGTCTGCATGGGATCATCAGTGGTCCCCAAGTCCTCTGTATGTACGGGAACCTCAGACTGGTTCCCGATCTCCTGCTGCTCAGCTGCTGAGACTGGGGCCTGCTCCTGGACCGGCTGGATGATAGGTGCATCACTGGAGGGGGTCTCCTGTGGGTCTGCTAGCTCAATAACTGCACCAGCTGAACTGGGGAGCTTCCTTTTCCTCCTAGGAGGCTTGGGTGCCTGCTCCTGCTCATGCTGTGGCTGTGGCACTGGTGCTGCTGCTGGGGCTGGATCCCTAAATAGCAAGTCTAAAGGCGTTTGGTCTACCAATAGCTTGTCCACATTAGTCCTTAGCACTTTCACCAACTCCTTGGAAGCCCTCGACTTCCTCATCTTCTTGTGCTCCTTGGCAAGCTCCGTCAAAGCCTTGCTATGTGAATCCATCACCTTAATCAAGGCATCCTGAGTCCTCATAATCTTCTCCTAATTGTCCAGGAGCTTTTTCAGTGTATCCTCAATGGACTGAGGAATCTGAGCAGTGGAAGGTGCTGAGTGGGCCTCAACTGTAGCACACAATGTAGACAACTTGGATGTCGCAGCTGACATCCAGTTGTTCAAACTGGCTAGTGTCCGACTCAACTGATGGGCCGTGAAAGGATGAGTCCGGGAAGAAGGAACCCCCGAGCCAGCTAAAGTACTAGGGCCAATAGAAGAGGAGGGTCCTGGAGGCAAGTCATCAACAGTGGTGGCAACAGGCATGGTGGAAGGCTCTGTGGAGGGCTCAATAGAAGACTCTACCGCAACTGGCTCCTCAGACTGGCCAGCTGGGGTAGAAGCAGGCGGCTTGTAATTTTTGTCCTTGGGGTTGTCTAACCCCTTCAAACTGTACCAGGAGAATGGAGCCACAGGTTTGACCTTGACGTCAAACGGTCTCTTCTCCACCTCTAAGTCCCGGAAATACATAGTGAGGGTGCTGGGAAAAGGGTAGTTCCGGTCATGCTCAACCCCCATTGCAGAAATGATGCAGGATATCACATTGCCCACGTTGATAGAATAGCCTGCCATAATAGAAGCAATAAGAACCGCCGGGGCAAGTGGAATAGTCTGATCATGGGTAGTCGGGTCGAGCCGACTGCACACAAAGGTCAACCACCCTCTAACCTCGAAGTTAAAAGTTCTCCGAAGTATTTTGACCCCTGCTTGTAACCACTCTAGAACCGTACCCGGGATTGCCAGGTATGAAGCTAACCACGGACGAACCTCCTCGCCGATTGCTAACTTTTCATTATAAAGGGACTCATCTTCATCAATAAACCCCAAATATTCATTCAGTGCCCTTCCGGTGAATACCACATTTTTGTTTCTCACCTTGGTCACCTTAGTGCCCTTCAAGATATAGGCCATATTGCTGTAAAATTCCTTGACTATATGCTCATTCGCCTTCAAACAATTGTCTTTAAAGAACTCCTAACCCACTCGAGCCTAAAACTGTCTATGCACATTAGGGTGTAGGGGTAGAAGGTCTTTGTCAATGAAGCTCCTCTCAAGAATCAACTTCTGTGACAGCCACCATTCCCTAAACTTGTGGAACGCCACCTGGCTGACAAATCGATCTTCCCAAACTTCAGGTTTTCTAGTTCGTTCAACACCCCAACCTGGGGCACACCACTGTCCGGTACCTCATTATCACTATTAGTCCCACCTTCTGCACTCTCCCCAGATACTGAAGCTATGGGGGAGGTGGAGTATTCACCGCCGCCTGCTGCTGAGCCATCAAACAACTCAGAAGGTACAGGTTGTGGGGCTTGGGCAGTATGTGGAGCTGGGACTGCAGGAGCTGGCCTTGAGTTAGAAGAGAGATCTTGAGAGGGTACGTACTCACTCCCCAATTGGTCATCTATAACAACTTGTTTCCTTGTTTTCAATTTAGGTCGAGGAGTGAGTTTAACTTGTTTTCCTTTTCCTCCCGGGGAGAGGTCACCTCGATCAGGTTGTTTGGCACCTCTTCCTCATTGTTTTACCATTATCAGCAAGCAAACGCATCTAACATTGTTAGTTTAAGCACAGGCAGTGAAGCAGGTGAATGAATTAAAGTTGCAAATAGCAAAAGGATTGTTGCAGACACTGCTGCAGATCCAGGCACCGCGGCCCGCATGCAAAGGAGCGCGACCGCGTTGGGGGTACCGTGGACCGCGCAAAGGCGACCGCAGTCTGCGTTGATCAAGTATCAACTAAAGTCCCTCTCTGAATCTAAGCACCGCAGTCCGCGTAAAATAGGTACGCGGCCACGTTGGGCCAGCACGGACCGCACAAAAGTTACCACGGCCGCGCTGGGCACAAGTATTTCCTCAGTCAATTAAGCATCGCGGACCACATAGAAGTGTAACGCGGACCGCGTTAGGGCACTGCGGACCGCACTAAGGCGACCGCGGGCCGTACTGGGTCAATTTCAGGGACTAAGCTAGGGTTTCATGTTTTCTTCTATTTTTGTTCAAATTTTTACCCTTACATGTCCCTACTCAGTTACCCAATCCTTAGTTACTTTAAACTAACATGAAATCTAACCTAGACTAACAATTCGAAAAAAATTGTGAAGAAAAAGAAGTTACAGACTAATGGCAAGCAAATAAAATGAAAATAAGAAAGTAATTAATCATGAATGTATGAAATGTTACCAGGATTAGGAAGAATGAATGCAATCTATCCAAGCAGGCAATAATTTTGGTGTTGGCAGAAGATGAACAATAGAATTAGGGATCTGGTTATTCAAATTGCGAAAAGGGTAAAATGAGACCCTTGGTCTCTATTTATAGACACCCAGTGGGACCCGTACTCACCTACCAGCACGGCCGCACAAAAGCGACCGCAGACCGCACTAGGTTTATTTGTGTGACCCTTCAGTAAGCACCCTACGCGGACCGCACAAAAGTGAAACACGACCACGTAAGTTCTCCGCGGACTGCACTAACTTGACCGCGGCCGCAGTGAACAACTTTAGAGAGTCCCCTTCTAAACTCATGCCGGTGTGGACTGCACAAAGTGCACCACGGCTGCACTGGAAACTTCAGAGACTATGCAATTTTCATACTTTATTTTGCACTGCTTCAACACAATCCCTGCAAATTCTCACAAACAATTAGCTCAAAAATCCTAAGCTACAAAGAAAATCAAAGAGAAAGGAAAAAAGATATGGGTTGCCTCCCAAGAAGCGCCTAATTTAACGTCGCGGCACGACGTATGTTACCACCACATCACTTTAGATGAAGAAGCGCCACTACATGGCTGCCATCAAACTTTCCAAGATAATGCTTGACCCTGTGGCCACCATTTTTGTTTTTTAGATCAAGAGCACCAAATGGGGTCACGAATGCAACTTCAAATGGCCCACTCCACTTTGGCTTGAGCTTACCCGGAAACAGACGTAACCGGGAATTAAACAAGAGAACCAAATCCCCAATTTTGAACTCCTTTCCTCGAGCGTATTGTCATGAAGGTACTTCATTTTGTCCTTGTACAAGGATGAATTGGAGCTTGCATGGAATCTAAACTCATCGAGTGCATTAAGTTGTTCAACCCTCAGATTTGCAGCAACATCCCATTCTAAGTTCAACTTCCTCAAGGCCCACATAGCCTTGTGCTCCAATTACACCGAAAAATGGCAAGCTTTCCTAAATACCAACCGGTACAGAGACATACCAATTGGGGTCTTGTAAGCTGTCTGATAGGCCCAAAGAGCATCATCCAATTTTTTCGACCAATCGGTCCTATTAGCATTGACAGTTTTAGACAAGATACTCTTAATTTCTCGGTTGGAGACTTCCACTTGACCGCTAGCTTGAGGATGATAGGGGTGGTCACTTTGTGATTAACTCCATACTTGGCAAGCAATGAATCAAAAGCCTTGTTGCAAAATTGAGACCCCCCATCACTAATGATAGTATGGGGAGTGCCAAACCTTATGAAAATACTCTTTTTCAAAAATGCTATCACACTCTGGGCTTCATTGTTGGGCAAAGTCACGGCTTCAACCCACTTGGAGACATAATCAACCTCCACAAGAATGTAAGTATTTCCATAAGATCTCACTAAAGGACCCATGAAGTTGAGGCCCCAAACATCAAAAATATCTACCTCGAGAATCGTATTGAGGGGCATCTAATCCCTTTTTGAAATTCTGCCAGCTCGTTGGCATTCATCATATCTTTTGACCACATCACCGACATCTTTAAACAAGATAGGACAATAAAATCCGCAACTGAGTACCTTTGAGGCCGTCCTCGCCCCGACATGATGGCCACCATAGGGTGAAGGATGGCAAGCCTCTAGGATACTCAATTGTTCCTCCTCCGGGACACATCTACGAATCACACCATCCGTGTAAACCTTGAACAAGTATGGCTTATCCCAATATAAATCCAAACTATCCGGCTTGATTTTTTTCCTTTTGTTAGAAGAGAGCTTACACGGGATGATTCCGGTAACAAGATAATGTGCAACATCGGCGAACCACGACATTCCACTCATTGACACCGCAAGGAGTTGCTCGTCATGAAATGTATCATTGATCTCAAGGCCGTCACAAGGCCTCTCCTCCTCCTCCAAATGGGACAAGTGGTCCGCCACTTGATTCTCACTACCCATTCGGTCAACAATTTCTAAATCAAACTCTTGAAGAAGAAGAACCCATCTCATCAATCTTGCCTTTGAATCTTTCTTGGTCATCAAATACCTAAGGGCGGCATGGTCGGTGTGCACAATAACTTTGGCCCCAATAAGGTAAGGACGGAACTTTTCCATAGCAAAAACAATAGCCAATAACTCCTTTTCGGTGACTGTGTAGTTCCTTTGAGCCTCATTCATGGTCTTGCTTGAGTAGTACACTGGGTGGAACATCTTGTTGATCCTTTGGCCTAAAACCGCCCCCACCGCAACGTTACTAGCATCGCACATGAGCTCAAATGGTAAGCTCCAATTTGGTGCGGTGATGATGGGTGTAGTTGTCAATTTTTGTTTAAGGAGCTCAAAATCCTTCATGCACTTCTCATCGAAAACAAACTTGGCATCTTTCTCTAGCAACTTGCACAATGGGTTAACTACCTTAGAAAATTTTTTGATGAACCTCCGGTAGAAACCCGCGTGCCCAAGAAAACTCCTCACCCCTTTGACAGAAGTAGGGGGAGGAAGCCTTGAAATAACCTCGATTTTGGCCTTATCAACTTGAATTCCTCACTTCGAGATCTTGTGACCCAACATTATACCTTCTTCTACCATAAAATGGCACTTTTCCCAGTTTAGAACAAGGTTGGTATTTTCACACCGAGCCAACACTCTATCCAAGTTTACCAAACATTCCTCAAAAGAATCCCCAACCACGCTGAAATCATTCATGAAGACCTCCAAGATATCCTCCACCATGTCGGTGAAAATAGCCATCATGCAACGTTGGAAGGTCGCCGGAGCATTACACAATCCAAATGGCATCCTCGAGAAAGAGAATGTGCCATAAGGACATGTAAAGGTCATCTTCTCTTGTTCCTCTGGGGCAATGAGAATTTGATTGTACCCTGAGTAACCATCCAAAAAGCAGTAGAAAGCCCGGCCCGCAAGACGATCAAGTATTTTGTCAAGGAACAACAACGAGAAATGATCTTTTCTAGTCACCTTGTTAAGCTTCCGGTAATCCATACAAACTCTCCAACCCATCACTGTCTGAGTCAGAATAAGCTCATTGTTGTCATTGGTCACCACAGTCATTCCACCTTTCTTCGGTACACATTGCACCGGAGAAGTCCATGAACTATCAGAAATGGGATAAACCACACCGGCGTCAAGCCACTTGATAACCTCTTTCTTTACTACTTTTTGCATAGCCTCATTTAGTCTTCTTTGATGCTCAAGTGAAGGCCTTGCATCCTCCTCCAATATGATTTTATGCATGCAAAAGGCGGGGCTTATACCTCGAATATCAGCTAGAGTCTATCTGATTGCCCTTTTTCGCTTTTGAAGAACCGCCGTGGTGGCCTCAACCTGCATGTTAGTAAGGCAAGAAGAAAGAATAACAGGTAAAGTAGAATTTGAACCCAAGAATTCATACCTGAAGTGTAGAGGAAGTGGCTTTAACTCCAACACCGGTGGCTCCTCAATCGATGGCTTTGTTGGTGGAGTTTTGCGGTTTTCAAGATCTAAAGATAGCCTTCTAGGCTCATAAGAATATGAACCCATACCATGCAATGCATTCACGCACTCCACTCTACTAGCATCATCATTGACATCCATATTAAGAAGCACGACCTCAAGAGGATCTTCAACATTGATCATGGAACTTGTGTCATCCACTATCACAGCTGTGACAATGTCCACAAATTAACACACCTCTGTGCTATTGAGTTGTCTCATTGATTTGCAAACATGGAATACTACCTTCTCATCCCCCACTCGCCACTCGAAAAGTCAACTCACACGCTTCAACATCAACCAATGTCTTCCCCGTAGCTAGGAAAGGTCTCCCAAGAATAATCGGCACTTCAAAGTCCACCTTACAATCCAATACGACAAAGTTGGCCGGCAATATGAATTTATCAACACGGACAAGAACATCATCAATTATGCCCAAGGGTCGCTTCATCGATCGATCCACCATTTGAAGTCTCATTGAGGTAGGTTGAGGTTGCCCAATTCCCAAAGTCTTGAAAACCGAGTACGGCATCAAATTAATACTAGCCCCCAAGTCACAAAGGGCCTTAGCAAAATCCGCACTTCCGATAGTACAAGGGATAGTAAAAGCTCCAGGATCCTCAAGCTTGGGTGACATTGAATGCACTATGGCACTCACTTGATGAGACATCTTGATTGTTCCACACTCTATCGACCTCTTCTTTGTAACCAAATCTTTCATGAACTTCGCATACCCTAGCATTTGCTCAAGTGCCTCAACCAAAGGGACATTGATTGTGAGGCTATTCATCATGTCAATGAATTTTTTGAATTGATTGTCACTCTTTTGC